TCTGGAATGAGGCAGGGCTGAGCGTCGCCCCAGGGGCTGCAGCGTGTGCAGAGCAAACCTTTTGGGGGTTGTCTCAAATAATAACCAGAAACTGTTCCTGCTCTAATCTCTCTCGTGTTCAGACATCGCAGGTGTGACGTGTAACAACAGGAGGTGAATAATGTTCACAGAGAAATGGGATGTTTCGCTTGACAGGGTCCTTTTTCAAACCCTTTTCATCTCCAGGGCCCTTTGATGTTCCTGAAGGAGCACCTTTATTGACTCTGCTCTTGTCATCCTGGATTCAATTTAGGGGTTTGAGCCCAATTCCACATTGTTCAGTTTGGAAAAATCTGGGGTCAAATACTGACTTTGGAGCCCACAAGAACCAAAAATCTTAAAAACAGACACAGAGCTCCAAACATAGATGAGCAAACAAACGGAGAGCTCCAAACACACATAAACAAACTGTAGACAGAGTTTCCTCCCAGCACCTCTAAGCTGAGGATTGAACCAGGGGCACAAACCAGTTCACTAACAGGCACCCTCTCAGGATAAATCCTCATGTTTTTAGCCTTATTTTCCCCCAGAAGCAGGTTTTCCGTCCCATCCAACTCAGTTTCACTCACACAGGCACGTTTAGCATCTCCTGGGCCCCTTCCTGGAGCCACGGGAGATGCTTGCAATCCACTGGAGAAAGCAAAGTGAATCCCTGATGTTTCTTTTGCTAAATGCTCCTCACCCATTTCACAGAGCCTGTTCCTGGCAATTATGTGACAATTCAGCACAAATGTCATGGAGCTGCTAAGTTTGCAGCACTTTCCGCAGTGCTGAGGCTGGAAAACGGTGCATATATAGGTTTTTTTTTTGCTGATCCAAGTCCTTAGTAATTACACTTTAATAGATCCCAGAGGGATTCCTAGGTAACCTGCACTATGGTTTCCATGGCAGAGAGGCAGAGCTTGTACCCTGTGATAACAGATAATAATGGATTGTTAATGCTTAAATTAATTATGCTACAATTGCATTTGTAAACCAGCTGTCCCTCGTATTCCCAGTAAGACTCTGGAGTTGCTACACAACAGTTACAGGATAAAAACAAACAAGACAGAGGGGCAGAAATTACTCTACAGCTACAATTACTGTTAATACTCCTGTGCCATAGCAAGAGTTTATTCATATTTTAGTGTATCCATGAGTTTATGTCTAAGTTTCTGTTCTTTAAGCTTGGAAGGAAATCCAAAAATTCCTCAGAGTCTCTCCCTGTTGATAGAGAAGGACCCTTTGGCCCAGCTAATGTGCATTGCCCACCCTTGGCAGATGTTTTCCTTCTCCTGTGAAGCACTCCAGGGACCTTATTATACAAAATAAAAGTAAAAAGTCCCAGCCTGGATTTGCTGGTGAAATTTTCGCCGGAGGATGCTCGGGCACACCAGAGCTCGCTGGAATGTTTCCTTTCCCGGAGCCAGGCTAGTAGCCATGCTGGGTGGGATTCATCCCACGTCACTTGGGCTCCAGACAGCCTGGATGGGGAGTGCAGGCTGGATGTCTAACGTTTAGGCAGCTAAAATTGGGTGAGAGGACGCTGCCAACTGGCGTCTGCCTCCCAGGGAAGCGGGTTCTGGAAGGGCGGGTGTGGAGCTGGGAGGCAGGACAGCATTCCAGAGCCGAGCCTGGCTCCTGGCTGGCAGGAAGGGTGGTTTAACCAAATCTCCCAGCTCCTGACAGCCTGATTTCACAATTTCCTACTGCAGGGCTAAAGAGAGTGTTGGAGATTCTTGCTGTCTTTGACACACAAGGCCCAGCTCAGGAAATAGGCCCAACTGGCCTCAGGGTTTTCTTTGGGCTCCAGGAGATCCCTGCCTGTGGCAGGGGCTTGGAATGAGATGATCTTTAAGGTCCCTTCCAACCCAAACCGTTCCATGATTCTATAGGAGGCCAAAGATGAGATGAAGCCCCACCAGACAACACAAAGTTTCAAATGGAGGGCTCTGTCTCTTCTTTCCAAAGGCAGTGGCTCCTGTTAGAGGGTTGGGATGTGGTGGGAACAGTTGTAAAAGCCACTGGTTCTAAAACAATGACTGGAACTGCAGCAAAAGGGAGTTCAGTGACCTATGGCCAGGCTGGGCTCAGCAAAACATCTCTTCCAAAGCAGAGCTCCAGAACTGATTCATCTCCTGCCCGGGCACCGAGCGGGAATCACTTCTTGGATGACACATATCCCAGGCCATCAAAGGAGACAAGGGCAAGTGTTTCCTCTGAGCAGAGGTGAAGGCACAAAGACCTGACAAGATAGAAATAAGCCAGACATAAGGGTTTAGAGGTGCAGCAGGATTCGTAATTGGAGCTAAAACAGAAGCTTTGGAGTCTCAAAGCTGCTTATCCACCAGCTGCCATGGGCAGGGCTCCAGCCCCACACCGGGGGAGCAGCCCTACCTGCCATTGCTGCCTGGAGAGCCCTCTGTGGAGCTGGCACAGGGAAGAGGGTGTTAAAAAGAAGGAACTGTGAAAAGGAAGCAGAATTTGTGAGTTGTCAGACAGTCAGAGCTGTTCGGTTCACAGAGACCCCTCCCCTCCCTGGTCATTCTATTCCTGGGATGCTTTTGCTGGCAAATGTAGAAGATCCCACCCATGCAGTGGCAAAGGAAGGATTTTCTCCTGCCTCTGCACTGCAAAAGGGGATGCAGGATGCAAACAGGCACAGACTGAGCCAGGGAGCCGAGCAAAACATCCGTGCAGGGGAAGGCAGGTGCTGCCGATGGAAGTGGGTGTTAACTCCCCCCGTTTTTCCACATGAGGGCTACGGTTTTGATGGACTGGTCTGTAAATCATAGAACTGTAGAAATCATTTAGGTTGGAAAATGCTCTAAGATCAAGATCCAACCATCCCCCAGCACTGCCAAGGCCACCACTGACCCATGTCCCCAAATGCCACATCCACAGGGCTTTTAAATCCCTCTGGGGATGGGGACTCCATCACTGCCCTGGGTGGACAATCCTTTCAGTGAGGAATTTTTCCCTAATATCCAATCCAAACCTCCCCTGGTGCAACCTGAGACTGTTTCCTCTTGTCCTGCTGCTTGACACTGGGGAGAAGTGACCAAAGAAGTGTATCCCTGGACACATCCCATCAGTGAACACCAGTCCCGAAGGGTTGTGATCTCCATCAGCCCAACAGGTCCATCCCAAAGTGTTTATGAGGAACTCCAGGAAATTGGAAGGGTCTAGTGGTGTGAGCAGAGCAGGGGCACAAATATTTGCTGCTTTTTTGGCAGGGAACTCAACCACTGAGTGGCCCAGGGCCGATGGAAGCACGGCCGAGCCCTCCCTGGCTGAGGGGCCGAGGGATCCGAGAGCATTCCCTGTGTCCCCGTGCCCTGCCAACAGCAACAATGACAGCGCTAATCGCCTGCAATCTGTTATTATATTACCACGGGCTCAGAAATGGTAAAACCCAATAATCTTGTGAAATGCAGCTAATCCCCCCCATGCCAATAACGCCGGCGCGGGGCTTGGCAGCGGCCGGGCTGGGGAAGGGGGAGGACTGGCAACAAGGGGGTGGTTTCTGCCTTTGGAAGCAGCTGGGCGTGGATACCTGGCTGCCAGGAGAGGCTCTCCACAATCCCTCCGTTGGTTGGCTGCCTTTGACCCTGTTGCTAAGCTACAAATAAGCCTTTCCAGCGAGCTCCAGCATCCTCGCTCCCACCCACTCCCAACTGCGAACTGAATCAGCCTGCTCGGAATGAAACGAGCTCTGGCCAGCAAGGAGGGTGATTTTGCCTTTTATTTTCCAGCAGCTCTGCAGAGTGGCACAAGGAAAACTCCCAAAGGGTGCCCACCCCTGCCCCGAGCCATCCCAGCAGCCACAGGAGCGTTAGGAGGAGGACGGGAGCCTGGAGAAAGGATTTAGAGCATTCCAGGCTGTTAAAGCTGGCATGGCTCAGCTGCAGCAGGAATAGCTGAGGATCCCAGCTACTCCAAGAAATAGCTACCACCTACCTGCACACAGGATTGCTCACCCTGGTGTGAGCCACGTTAACACTCTGGGACAGGGAATGTTTGGTGGCGGGGATGAGGAGGCAGGGATGGGGTGGCAGGGATGGGGTGGCAGGGATAAGGTGATGACATGGAGGTTTTTCTGACCAACGTTCTGCACAAAGATGTGCTGGAGGGTTGTCTGCAGTCCCCATGCTGAGGGGTCTCTTCCTGTCATTCCTGGGATTCCAAGACCACATCCTCATCAGGTCCCACGCAGTTGTCCGGGCTGTCAGTGGAAAGCAATGGATGCTCCTGGGGGGATGTTCAGCCCAGGCTGTGGTGGGTGCTCCATGGGCCAGAGTTCCTGCAATGGTTTCCAGGCAGAATCACACAATCCTGGAATGGGTTGGGTTGGGAGGGACTTTAAAGCTCATCCAGTCCCGCCCCCTTCCACGGGCAGGATCACCTTCCACTATCCCAGGTTGCTCCAAGTCCCGTCCAACCTGGCCTTGAACACTTCTAGGTAGTTCCCAGATACTTTATTCAGTTCTTATAAACCTCAGGAAATGTTATTAGAGCTTTCCCAAAGTGTTGCCTGAACACAGATCACTCTGTCCTGGCCTGATGTTTGCCATTACCAGAATGCCTGGAGAAACAATTGTGTTTATTGGGAAATGTCCTGTGGAGACTCCACCAAACCATCCCCAAACACCTCTATGATCCAATAAATGGGGTTTTTTTCTTCCTTTTCATTGACCACCTGGTAAACAACCAATTTTAATTTTTTTAAGGCCAGATTTCCTGTGAGAATGACATGGGGAAGTCCATGGCTTGGTCAATGGGTGCATCCAGGTGTTTGCTTAGAAGCCTAAAAAAATTCACCAAGGGTTTCTGGGCACTTTGGGATCCCTTGCTGGGGTGTAAATCAGGGTTTGCCCATCCACAGACCTGCCTGGACCCCTTAAGGCTCCTGACCCTGCTACAAGGCAGCCTTGGGCAGAATTCCAACCATTCTAACTCCTCTCCTTCTCTTTCTCTTCCAGGGTTCAGCTCCCATCCTGGTAGTCATGGTGATCTTACTAAATATTGGAGTCGCCATTTTGTTTATTAACTTTTTCATCTGATTCAAGACTGTCTTGTTTGCAAAAATAACAGTTACATGTATGAATGGGAAAACAAAACAAAACAACAACAAAAAAAAAAAAAAAACAAAGAAAAAAAACCCCACAAAAACAAACCAGAACCAAACTACAAACAACAACAAAACAAAGGGAAAAATCGTAACTCGAACTGTCCTCCGACAATTTCCAAGTCTTTTCACAGAAGAACAACAAACGATCGAGTCTCACTCACAGTTTGCCTTTTTTCCTGGGTAATGTTTTTTGGATTTTAGCCAAAATTCTTTGCTTGTATAACACTATGCTGTGTGGCATGGCAAAATGCTATCAACACTCTGCCCCCCCAACACTGGGAAGGATGAGAAGGAATCCCAACAAAAGAAAACCTCGTTTCCCTTCCCCTCACCATCCCCCCTCTCCCCCCCACAAAAGAAAAAAAAATATGGTCATAACAACAGTAATGAACCCCAAACTGGAAATGAGATGGGGGGACCATGGGGAGAGTTTGTTTGGTGTATGTATGGGTGCTGGGATGCTCCAGGCTGAGTTTCCCAGGGAAATCCACAACAGCTTTAATGACAAATGGGAGAGAAAAGCAAAATCAGGCTTTTCTTCCCTTGGAAATGGAGGAATGTTGCTGTAAGAAGGAGGAGAGAAGGAGCACAGGGAAGGCATGAACCCTGTTTGGATGGAAAAGATGGGAGAAGGGGCCCCATTTTGGTATTTGTTTTAAAACAAAGCAGCAATTGGCCTTTCCCAAAATTCCTTGGGGCAGGGGGGGGAATAGGGAACACAAGGTGTGAGCAGCAGCCCCACCACCCTCCTGCCTTCACTCCTCCTCCCCAGGCTGCTCCCCGACATGGCAAGGCTGGAAAACTACCCAGTGCTACTTTTAATTCACAGCCAATTTCTCCTGGGTAAAAATGTGTCCCTGGATTCCCCAAAAAAACACCAAAAAAACTTGGAGGCACCATCAGCAACACGAATTGCTGGTCATTGTGCCGTGCTGGTGAGGAGCATCCCATCCCACCCCATCCCATCCCATCCCGAAGCGTGTGCACGGAGATGCCGGGGAGCAGATTGGTGGGGAGGGCCAGGGGAGAGAGGGCTCAATTCCGACCCACTTGGGATAACAATAAAACAAAACCAAGCAAAAATAAACCTGTTTTTCCAAGGCATCTGGGGAGGAGCACCTGGAGCATGTCCCAGAGAGGAGGGAGAGGGTGGTGGGTTTGTCTCTTACATCTTGCTGTGGACTGTTTCAGACATCATGCTTGGGCTCTGAGCATGTAGTATTTTGCACTTTGTAATGCAGGATGTATATTCCAGCTTCCAACATGTCCCTGTAAAAAAAAAAAAAAAAAAAAAAAAAAAAAAAAAAAAAAAAAAGGAAAAAAAAAGAAAAAAAAAAAAGAAAATCCAACCAACCATCATTGGCAATGGCAGCCTCTAAGGATGTATTCTTTTCTTTCTTTTTTTTTTTTTTCTATGTCACTTAATTTGTTTCTACCATCTTTGTACTATGCCTGCCTTGATTTTGTCCCCTCCCCTTCCCCACGGATAATCTGCATACTCATTAAAGATGCCGTATCCCTGTTCTGAGCTGTCATGGTCCCAGTCACAGCGTGGTCTCAGCTCCATTCCTCGGAAGTGGCCGATGGCCCCTCGCTTTCCCAAGGGACTGTTCCCTCCCCACGGGTGGAGATCGGCTTTGCCGGTGCTCCACCACCACCTGGCACAATTCCAGTGGCTCCTCTGGGATTTGGTACGTCCAGGGACCAAATTCCACCCTCAGTTCTCCCCACTGCAGCTCTGTGCGAGTGTGGCAGCACCCGAGGGTGGGAGGAAACCCTCACGTGGATATTTTGGGGGGGTGGGAAAGGAGGGGGAAATCCCTCCTGGACATTCACATCCAGAGTTGTTGGATACAGCCCGGATTTGTGGACTCAGCTTTGCTTTGCTTCTGTTTTAGCTGTTTCTCTGCTACCTTTTCAGCAGATTTCTTATTACACTGCACTGGATTGCTATATTTTTAACCAGAAATAAACTAAGGATTAGAGCATGTGCCAGTTAAATTCAGTTCTTTTCCTTACATGGTCTGATTCCCTCCTGTCGCAGCTTTTCCTCCTCTTTTCCTTCCTTTCCCTTTCCTGGCAGAGGGCTATGGGTGGACAGGGGAAAGGAGAACTTTGAAATTTAAATTTCCACAGTAACTGTCCGTCATCTTCCCACGTCTTCCTTTTTTGTTGCTGTTTTGGTTTTCCCTTTTGGGTCCTTTAGTCATCATTTTTTCCCTCTTGAATGGTCCCTGCACACCCAAAATGAGCCAAATAACGACACGTCGTGATTGCAGCGCTGGGAACTCACCCTGGGGTTTGTAATTCTGGTTTTACTCCTCGCAAAGACTCTTGAGGAGGGTTTTTTTTTGGGCATTTGAGTGCACATGACACAAAGGTCCCGTCAGGAGCTGGTTAAACAGATCCCTGCAAAGGCAGTAGGATATTTAGAGACATATAAACCAGCACAAAACCACCTCATTATCAATCCAATAAAAGTACTAGTGATTCCCTGACTAGTTTTTCCCACTGGTTACTGCTGCTCTTGCCCCTGGACCAGCACAAATCCAATGTGGATTTTTAATCTCTCTGTTCCAGTTGAGCTCAGTTAGGAAAGACAGTCAAAGGCTAATATTAATTGGCTCCCAAACCACGTGGTTAAAAAATAATGATTCCTTTCTTAATCCTGTGGAGCTGAGCAATTTGTCTTAGTCCTCGGCTTTTCACATTTGCCCAAGGCCAGAAATATTCTTGAGAAGTAGCCCAGAGAGAGAGGTAATTCAGTGTATTGCCCTGTCTTATGAGCCCTGGTTCCTGCAGATCTACCTGAGGCACATTAAAATGTCTATCAACAGGGCACATAAATCCATGGAAATTGTCCAGACCTGCTGTTTTATGTCCAGGCTGGCAGATGCACGTGGACACTTGAGGTTTAGATCATTTTTTTAGGCAGCAATGGAATTTTTATGTTCCTACAGCAGAACCTGAAGCACGAGGAGGGGCTGGGGCTCAGGGAACCATCCCACCTGCTGTCACAGCAGATCCACTGGGAAAAGGGCACCTGTCCCTCCCCAGGGAGACTCGGGAGCTCAGCCAGACCCCACCTGTGTGAGGGATGGGCTGGTCTGTCAGTGCAGCCCTGGGGAAGACAAGGAAGGAAGGAAGGGAATGAAGACAAAACCCCTCTGCCTGCTCCTGCCACGTCAGCTTCTCACCAGCCCATCTGGCGTCTGGTTTGCTGTACCCGAGACCCAGATTCTGGGCCTCTCCAGGGCCTGATCTTCCAGAGAAACTGAGCTGTGGCAGCATCTATTTACCTCGTGGGGAGTTGGAAGTGCTGCTGGGAAAAAACCATCCAGACTGCAACACAAGGGGAGGGGCAAGAGGAGAAACGATGTCGGATTGATGGCGAAGGCCTTAATTGAAACCTAAGGACTAATTACACATCCTAACAGGCTTTGCCAAGTTAAGGGAGGGTGGGAAAAGGAATTTTTGGAAGCTGTCAGAGGGTGAGGTTGGCTCCAAGGGTTTGTGCCAAGGTGGAACTGAGCAGAGGCTCAGCTGGATGGGATCTCCTGCCGGTGCTGCAGCTCTGGGGCATGTGGGTGAGGTGTTTGCACAGAACTGGGGCCCCACAGAACCTGGACATTTTGGCAGGGTTTCCTGATTTAGGGAAACACATCAACTCCTTGCACAGCCCCTACATGAGCTGCATCAGTTGTAGGATCATAGAACCACAGGATGGTTTGGGTTGGAAGGACCTTAAAGCTCATCCAGTCCCGCCCCCTGCCATGGGCAGGGACACCTTCCACTACCCCAGGTTGCTCCAAGCCCTGTCCAGCCTGGCCTCGGACACTTCCAGGGATGGGGCAGCCACAGCTGCTCTGGGATGTTTAGTATTGGTTGGATTCACCCACCCAGTGGTTTTGCTGGAGCAAGAGAGTAGAAGTTTTGCCAATACAAAGCAGACCACGAATGAACCCAGACTGCAGGAGGAAGGATGAGATCAAGGCAAACAAGGAATTTGCCTGCAGATGCCTCTAGTTCCCCTCTACCAGAGAAGGGTGAGGGAGAATCTTTCCCTGTACAAACCTATCCTTCATCCTTGGCACTGCTGCAATCCAGCTTCAACTCCAGGGAAAAAATCCTGTCAGTGCCTATAGCTGAATTTGCAAAGGGAAGGAATGGTGAAGTACATCCAGTAAGAAGTGTGTTCTCCCCTGTCTGGCTTGACCTCTGGACTGGGGTGATTTTAAAGCTACTAATTTTCAAACAAAAAGAAATTAGTAAAATTAAGTAAAAATAACAATTCAAACAAAATCTGCACGTGCAACTCGGTGGCAGATTCCCCAAAACTCTGCACACGAAGATATGGAGTCATCACACAGGAAGGATCAAATGCCCATGAGACCAAGGTAAACCCACCAAGGGACCCCAGGGGGACTGACTGAGCACGACAGATTCTCTCCCAGTCATCAGCAAAGGGTTTGCTTTGTTTTCACCTTTCCCAGGTTATCAATAAATAGTTTGTTTTCACCTCTCACCTGTTAGTTTGTGGGGAAGATCCCTCCCTATCAAACATGTTTTTCCCTTGACAATTCCATCCCCCTGGCAGCCTGCTCTGTCTAATCCTCGTTCTGTTCTAATTATCCTGGCAGATCCCAGCCCTGCTCTCCTGGGATTTGGCTCCCCGGTGATGTCCCTGCCAGTGCAATACCCAGGGCACCTGGGTTTCCCTGCACAAGGACAGCCAGTCCTGGTGGCACCTCAAGTCATCCCTTGTTTGATGCAGCACACACTTGGATCCCATCTGTTGTCCCTATGGACCCAGCACTGCTCAGCTGGGAAGGGAGTGATGCCTTGAGGAGAGAGAGGGGCTGAGTGGGGAAAAGCAATTCCCTGGAGTGTCAGCCCATTCCCTCCTGTCCTCAACACTCCACCAGGTCTCCAGGTAGGATGTTTCACTGGTCATAAAGAGCTCACTTGTCGGACAACTAGACCAACATGTGAGAAACTGAACTGGGAGATTCCCCAAGCAAAGGCGAAACCTGGGGCAGAGGACAGGAAAAAGGAAGAGGATTCTGTTCATGCATCAGGGGTTACAGTGGTTCTCATACAGAGGAGGTAGGAAAGGATTCCCAGGTTTCTCCAGGCAAGGCAGACACACCTCAGGGCTACTGGTGCACCTTACAACCAGCACCCGTGTATCTCTCCCACACTGGGAGAAAAACAAGTAGAAAAGTTGGGACTGGATGAATTGAGAAAACCAAGATGATGTAGCCAAGTAAGTTTATTGTAGAAACCCTTGGAGACACGTTCTGGCCCCAGTCAGGGTGGGAAATTTGGGACCAGTGAACACTGTGACGTGCAGTTTGTCTTGACAGACTCAAACCAACTTTTTTGAACACAAAGAAGTCAGTATTGTATAGCCCAGCCTCAGCAGAACAGGTGCTTGGACAGTAATCCTGTTCCTCAAGACCCTCCCACAACCTTCCCAGGAATAACAACATATCCAGAGCATTAAGCAAGGAGGCTGCTCAGCCCAGAGGCCCTCAGGGGAGGGAAAGGCTGAAGTGCCAGGATGCCTTCTGGACATCAGGCTGGGTTTAGCAGGGCTGACCACGGCTCCCAGCACGTTTGTTCACTCCTGGAACAGCCTCACCACCATCTAGACCGAATCCTCATGGAATGTCTTTGCCATGGCATGAGCCACCTTGACCACCTTCTTCTCCTTGGCCTCGGGGCCCATGTGGCTGCGGGCCACTTTGATCCAGTACTGCTCCGTCCTGGACAGGTATTCCTCAGGATTCTCACCAGGCTCCACTGCTGGATGCTGCTCCTCTCCTGCTGCAATGGGAGGGAGACACATGGAGAGGTCACAGCCTGGCCAAGAACACTTGTGTGTCCAAATATAACACCCTCAAAATCTAGCAGTAACCAATAAAATTTCTCTTCTACCCCAAGAGCAGTGCACTATGGAAGCTTTGCTTTTGCTGGAAAACTCACCTGGATGCCAGTGAGACTTTCCAGGCTGGCAGCAGAACCAGGCATTGTAAATTAGTTAATTATTGCAGATTATTTAGATGAGTATGGAGAAGGCATTCATTTGATCATTACCTTCATCATCTCCACTCTCCTCTTCAGAGCTCTCCTCTTCCTCTTCTCCTCCCTCTGCACCTTCCACATCATCATCCTCTTCATCTGACTCCGACTCCTCCAGCCACTCTTGGGCTTCTTTGATGAGAAGGGAAACAGAAGAGAGGTACAAAGAGATAGATTAAGGTACAAAGAGATAACCCTGGAGATAATGAATGCAAAGAAATAACCCTAGAGATAATTAATGTATGAAGAGATAGCCCCAGGTAATGCCCATGTGCTTAAAAGGACCCAAGACTCTCACTGCCCTGGAAGGTGAGGACAGGCAACAGCATCCCTGTCCTCTGCCAAGTGGACAAGCCTGGCACACCAGGACTTCCCAGAACAGCACATGCCACCAGTGAACAAAGATACTGTTTACAGGTCTCAGTGTTTACAGGTCTCAGTTTCAAAGCAGACAGACCAGTGACAGCAAAGCTCTGGACCAGACAGGTTTCTGGTAAGGCACTGCATTATCACACGCTCCCAGATTTTTCCTGTCTAGGAAAAACCACTACTCAAAACTTGAGGAAGCTCCATAGTTGGTTTGTTCCCTGGTGTGGTGTTGCTACACTCAAGGTAAAGGGACAGATACCACTATGAGCTTACTTGGATCCATCTCCACCAGCACCTTCCACTCCCCCATCTTGTGCAGGTCGATGCTGTGCAGGTCACTGAGGGTGAATTGGCGGTCGCCCACCTCGAACATCCCCCCGTACACGTAGAGGACCCCGTGTTTCACTGCCACCATGGCATTGGAACGTGGGCACGGCTCCACCTGCTGTCCCAGGGCTCCACCTTCCTCCTCCTCCTCCTCCTCCTCAGATTCAGACCTTTCCTTCTCTTCTGCAGGTCCAGAGATCACCTGCTTGATGGTCATGACA